GCGTCAAGAGATTGTGGCAGAATGCAGAGATGCCAATAAAGTCTGACGAGGCCTTGATCACCAGCCTGAGCACGTTGAGTGGGCATGCTGGGTTGTCTGTCGCACACCAGAGGTGGACAGCAATGTGCTTCCATGGGGCAGCATACGGCTGACACCATGCCAGGGCGGCTTGGGCGAGGAGGGCTTTGAGGTGACGCCGAACAGGGATGAGTCCGAGTCCGCATGCCACGGATTTGATTGGTGCTGCGACGTTGGCCTGGTGAGTTCGCGACCATTTGCTTGGGTGCCAGAGGAACTTGTCGATGATGCGGATGAGTTTTGCTGTCTGCTCGGACGAGAGGGGCACAAACCTCGCTCGGTACCAGACTTTGGACAGCGCAATGGTGTTGGCGATGAGCACACGACCTGGGAGTGACGGTCCGTGGACGAGCCATCTCGACAGCTGGCCGTGCAGCTTGTCGAGTAGGTCGCCAAAGTTTGCGACGGTCAGATCGCCGTGGCCGAGCATGACGCCGAGGTAGCGCGTCGTGGAGTTTGGTCCAACCCACTCGAGGCCTTCTAGGTCGGGGGGAGGCTTGCGTTGCAGTTGGTCCAAGCGGGATGATGGTGGTCTTTGGTGCATTGATTTCCAGATTGGTGGCCGTCCCCACAAACTTGAGCTCGTTCAGCAGGTTTTGGACGTCTGCCGATGAGGTGAGAAAGTAGGACGAAACCACTCGTATAATTTCAGCAATAGAGACACAATGCAAATCGAGTCATTTCCCTTCGACTAAAGTCAAAATTTCAACGTGCTCCAACCGCCCCGACTTTTAGCACAGCATCTATGAAACTATAGATCCATTGAGCAATAGTATGAAGAGAGCCAGAAACCAGGTGGTCTCAATCCTTAGTCGTTTTCTGCTACTCTTGGTGCTCATTTCACTACGTCTACAATCGAAGACCCTCGCACTGCAGCGCCCAAAACAAAGTAAACAAATTGGATGACTCTAGTAACAACTAGCACAACTGCTATGCGACTATATGTGGTTTGATTACCATGATTTTATTCACACCTCACGTTTTCTTTACATCCAATTCGTGGCGTCCAGATGCTCGCCTTCGAATACACAAGCAGCACAAAACTCGCAGTACTCGATGCTTCATTCATGCTCTAAATAGGGAACGAGCAGGTCGGAGCGGTATTGACGCCAACTTCCTCAATGCTTTCGCTAAAGTCGAGCGGGCCACCATTGGCAATCAAGTTGCGCAGGCAACCTCGGAAGGAATTGGCAGCAGTCACGCCAACAAGCCCACCGAGTGGGTCCGAGTGTCCACCGACATACAAGCGCGAGTCCACCGTGTACGTGAGAGGGCCGGTCTGCACGGTACCAACCAAATCCTCAAGGAAACCGAGACTCGGGTTGCTGATGCGCATCCGCACTTGCTGGCCATCACGAGTGATTTCAACTGTAAACCAGCGATCTGTCTGGAAAATATTAGCCGACACGAGCACGAGGTTTGAGGCGCCGCCGCCCTTGATGAACAGCCGCAAGTGACCACCGACCAGTTCGAGGGCAAATGCGTACTGTAGGCCCGATTCATACAGAATGAGACCGTCAGCGTAAGCGGGATTGGGGTGGAACTCGATACGAATGTCAGTCACGCCAGCGTCGTGCTCCGCGCCGGTCTGCGGGTAGTACTTGACGTAGCCAGCGCCGTCGAATCCACGCACCTCGGGGAAGATGCAGCCTTCCAGCGCAATCGGAGTAATGTAGCCAGTGTTGAGCACCTGGTCGACGCCATTCACACGCACGTCGGAAATGCAGCCATCGAAGGCGTTGTAGGTCGCTGTGCCGCCGATGAGCAGCGGGCCGTTCAGGTTGATGGTCGAGAGAGTGGAAGGAGGCACCATCAGCGATCCGCTTATGAAGACCACCTCGTCTAGCGAGAAGGTCACGACGCCAGCATTATCAAATGTCGCCTTGAAGGTGTGCCAAGCATTGTCCAGCAACACAGGGACGTTCGTTCCAAATCCGGCGAAATCACTGTAGCCCGCGTTGAAGCGGCCGCCAATTAGCAGATCGCTGCCATCCCATGTTAAAGCAATGCTAAACTCGTCATTGTAGTCTGTGTGGTGACCATAAACAAGTACTTGTTCACTCAGTACAGCTGGAGTGTCGCGAAGGCGCAACCTGAATTCGATCGACCGCAGTGAAGTGTCGCCATTCGGCTCTACAGCCAATGCGCCTTGTTTGGCGATAAATCCGCTGGCACCGAAAAAGTAAGGGGAGGTGCGCTCCGGCGGGCAAACCGGGGTGGCGGAGGCCAGGGCGAAAATGAACGCCCCCGCGAGAAAGACCAGCACAATTTTCATCGTGGTCGGTTTGAACGGAACAAAGAAGAAGAAGACAAACAGAGTAAACCGAGATGCTAGCGACAAGAAAACAAGAAGAAGAAGACAAACAGAGTAAACCGAGATGCTAGCGACAAGAAAACAAGAAGACTGAGCGGAATCACGACAAAAGCGATGCGCTTAAGTACGAAAACACAAAACGGCAAAACATCAACAAGCTGTGCCTTGCGCGCATACACCTAACAGATGCCGATCTGCCAAAAACACATCGTGCCAGGAATGGATGCGTCACGTTCGAATGTATGTCGACAATCAATTCAAGTCAAAATCGGTTGCTCAAGCGAGACCAGGGTGTCAAGCAGTTGGACTCTGACGCTGTTGTTGGGGGTGGGGTTGACTCACCTCCCCGCCCCTCCACGCCCTCCACACCCAATCAGCCAGTCGGCAACCTGTCTGTTGTAATCGATTGTAGCAAAGAATGGCGCACCAACCTTCACCTGGAGAAGCATGATGGAAATCGAATACAACAAGAGGGTGTTACCAGGCATGTGAGCATTGTTGTACACCTCCCACCCGCCTGCCTCCCACCACCCTCTCACTTCAAGTCCACTCGCTCGGCTGCAGAACAAACAGACAGCAGAGGCCTTCAGGCTACGGTTTCATCGAACTTCAGGGCTCCACCGACTCTCGCACAATAAGGTCAATCAAGCAGGATGTGTGATCATGAAAGAATCGTTGGCAATGAATGCTTCAACACGGCTTTCTTTCGGATCGCGCGAATGTGTCAAACCAACCAGTCTTGATTTGGGAGGACGCTGGTTTAAATTGCCCCATGCTGTGGGACGACGGATGTCAGTCTTTCTTTTCCTTCATCTCGTACACTTTGTTGTTCTGTTTTTTGTTGTTTTTGTGGTCTCCGATACCTTGTAGTCACCATTTATCTCCTTCCTGTACCGCTTTTCCATTTTATTATGTCTCCCTCGAAGGCAAGCTCGCTGGCTTGCGTTCTTGTGGCCATGTTGGCAATGTATGCCGGGCTTGTTTCGGCTTCTTGCCCATCCGACGAGCCTGCCGTGTTTCTCGGAGAGAAGGGCTACCTCACCTTCCCTAATGTGTATGGTCCCGTGAATAACACACGCAACAAACTCTTCACCCACTTTGCGATGGACTTGAAGCTGCGCAAGGGCCCTTCCGCGAGCCGGGAATTTCGCGTTTTCAGTGTCCGCCACAACTATTGGGTCGACTTTCTCGACGTTTGGGTGAACGTCCTGTGCGATGACAGTGCTCAAGTTGTTGTGAACTTCAACGCTGGACAAGGGCTCATGTCGTTTTCCGCCGACTTTAGCAAACTCCTCAACTATAAATGGCACACGCTGAAAGTGACCACCTCGCCCGGTCGCGTCTTTATCTACATTGATACGGAGATGGTCCAGGAGCACTACTACTTGGGTGGGCCCGCGCTTACCATCA